GGGTGGATTAGGGAGTGGTATGAGTTTTTTATCCCCAGAGTTGCTCTGTGGGATGCCCTCCGAAACAGGAGGCTGGAGGGTAAATTGAAAGGCCTCAAAAAGGAAAAGAGTGAAAAGAATACCAAAAAAGAGTAAAGAGTACAAAAAGAATGAAAGAAAAAGAGTTAAGTTTAAAAGAGAAAAGAGTATGTGTTTTCATCCCCAGAGATGCTCTGAAAGACGCCCTCTGGATAAAGAGAAGACAGGAGGGTAAATTGAAAGTCTCCAAAAGATAGAATGTATTGTGTTGTCTTTTGTGTTCTGGACTGAAAAAGACATTTGACTCTAAAAATTGCTTTTAAAAAAAAAAAAGGTATTGCGGAGAATTTGATGTGAAATGTTGATGTAATATAGGAATTTGATGCCCCCTGAAATGTTGATGTAAAATATATGGATATAAGAATGTAAAATATCCCCCAGAATGCAGTGCCCCCGTTCAGCATGGAGAAGCCTGACAGGTTGGCGATGCCCAAATTCCTTAAAAGTGGGGCCCCTTAAGTGGTTTCAGAGCAGCAAGCAAATGCCATGATGGGGCCAGGAGTATCAGCAAATGCGGCAACAAATGATGGAGCTGAGACAAGCTGGAGCCACACAGACCTAGCTGGGCAGCCCATCTGGGTGCAGCATATGGAGAAGGCAGCAGCAGGGCAAGGAGAGCGTCTGCAGCACAAGTAGGAGGCTTTCCTGCAGCACCCAAAACCCACTTAGTAGCTGCAGAAGTCTACGAGCCTGCCTGCTGCCCAAGGCGGTTGTCAAACTCTCACTGTTTGCTGATAATATGATAGTTTATGTAACTGACCCAAAAATTCTACCAAGGAACTTCTACAAATCATAAACACTTTCAGGACACAAGATTAACTCAAAAAAAAAAAAAAAAAAAAGCAGTAGCCCTCCTGTACATAGACAATAAATGGGATGCGAAAGAAATCAGAGAAACATCACCCCTCACAATAACCACAAATAGCATAAAATATCTTAGAGTAACTCTAACCAAACAAGTGGAAGACTTGTATGACAAGAACTTTAATTCTTTGAAGAAAGAAATTGAAGAAGACACCAGAAAGTGGAAAGATCTCCTCCCATGCTCTGGGTTAGATAGAATTAACATAGTAAAAATGGCAATCTTAATGAAAGCAATCTACAGATTCAATGCAATACCCATCAGAACCCCAGCAAGATTCTTTACAGACCTTAAAAGAATGGTACTCAACTCCATATGGAAAAACAAAAAACCCAGGATAGCAAAAAACAATCCTGTACAATAAAAGAACTTCTGGAAGTATCACAGTCTCTGACTTCAAACTCTACTACAGAGCTACAGTGCTGAAAACAGCCTGGTATTGACAAAAAAAATAAAAATAAAAACAAAAATAAATAAAAAATTTTAAAAAAACAGATGGGAGGACTAATGGAACTGAATCCAAACACTTTCGAACACCTAATTTTTGGACAAAGAAGCAAAAAATATCAATGGGGGGGGGGGGGTCAGAGCCAGAGAGATTCTAAGATCTCACTGACCATTCAGTCTAGCAAAAATTGCAAGCTTCCTATAAGAGAGACACCCTGTCACACGGCAATAAGGTGGAGATTGACTAGAGGACACTTGAAGTCCTCCTCTGGCTCCATATGCATGTGCTTAGGTGTGTACACATACCCAGCTAGCTGCATGCAAAACACATACACACATATAACACACAACAGGAAAAAAAGGCAAAGAAACCAAGAGACTCATAAAAATTTTTGCCAAAAATTTTAATTTAGTTATGTATATTACCAACCCTAGTCAAAATTACACACCAACAAATAACCCCTTTGTCTCTGCCCTGAAGTAAGTTTCATAAAACTATGTGACATCAAGGAGCATGTTCAGCACAGCCAGAAAAGCAAGGGCTCTTTTACTGCTTACTGGTTAGCAATGAAGTTTGCCTCCTAGACCAGTAACCAATGTTCCCTTATCTTTACATCAACCCCGAGAAAGCTGCTCACTGATAGACATCATCAAAGCAACATCTTATCTTTACTAATCACTTACTTTAACTGATAACTAAATAGTAAAAATTAATTTTTGTTTTTCTTACTCATTCCCATTGTAGAATTCAGGTAGACCAGAGAGATGTGAGGGAAAGAATGTCCAGAATGGGCGTTACATAATTTTCTGTCTATAATGTAAATGGCTTTCTACAAGTAGGCAAACTTTGAGGAGACATCTACAGATTAAGGGATGAATCCTAGAATACCTCCCTTTCCCATTTTGGATGCCAATTATAGATAGGCTTCCAGGTTACCCACAACTTCTATCCAATGGTTACGAATCAAAGTTTTCCATGACCCTTTTCTTAGATTTGATCTTAGATTGATAAAAGGCTCAGGAAGAAATAGATTTACTTACTAGTGCGGACACAGGATATGGATATTTAATGGATAACAAAATTGGGGGGGAGGAGTAAAATAAGGTGTGAAGGACAGCCTACATTCTGTGTGTCCTGTCTGTGTTCGGCCCTCACAGCCCCTTCACATCCATCAAATAGTAACCCTTCCAGACCCAGCCCTCCTTACATAAGCACAATCAAATTTATATTATCGCCCATTGAGGATATATCTTTAAGAAAGCCTTCTCCTCTCTGCACGTGCAGAAGTGGGACTGAAACCCTCTATCAGCCTCCTATCATGTGGTAGTGTCCCTTGACAACATCATTATGGAGAAGCCCAGAAAGCCCAGCTATCAGTCACTTACCTCCTTATCATGCAAATATATGTTTGTGTGTGTGCGTGTGGTAAGATTGCCATTTTTACTATGTTAATTCTGCCTACCCATACATGTGTGTGTGTGTGTGTATATATATATATACCTTAGCATCTCAGAGATTGATAGTTTCTTTAAAAAAAAAAAAAAACTAGGATGAAGCCTAACTTTACTTATTCAGAGATAGGGTCTCACTGTATATCCCAAGCTGGTCTCTAACTCAAGATCCTCCTGCCTCAACCTACCAAATACTCAGATTATAAGCATGAGCCAACACATCTGGCCATGTATTTGTTTTTACAATCACAACCAACAAGTCAAATGAGGAAAACATTAAGGGCAGCACACTGTATCACTGTCTTGGAATGACTGTCCTGTGGGGATGGAGTCATCAAAAGTATATTTTCAGGTGGATATTGCTTTATTTACATGTTAGTTGACTTCTCAGCCTATTGGTAGGTGTTTTAGGGTTTCTATTGTTGTGAAGAAACACCATGACCACAGCAACTCTTATAATTGAGGTGATGGCTTACAATTCAGAGGTTCAGTCCATTATCATCATGGTGGGGAGCATGGCAGTATGCAGGCAGACATGGTGCTGGAGAAGTAACTGATAGTCCTACATTTTGTAGGCAACAGGAAGTCAACTGAGTGTCAAACTGAGTGAAGCTGGAGCAAAAGAGACCTTAAAACCTGCCCCACAGTGACACACTTTCTCCAACAAGACCACACCTATTCCAACAAGGCCACACCTCTTAGTAGTGCCACTCCCTATGAGATTATGGGAGTCAATTACATCCATCTTACCACAGTAGGTGTGTGTAAAAAGTATCAACATAATTTGAATTACTAATGTATTTTTTAAAATAGTCTATCACACATAATCAACACTTCTCTTCTTAAATACTTTTAGTACTCTACAGAAAGTATTCCAAACAAGACCTTAGTATATTTCTTTGCCTAAACAGACTACTTGGTCAGATTCGGTAAAATTGAGCAACATTATAGCAGTATTTAATGTACATGAGTTTCAAGCTTATAGACACTGTAAAAAGAAAGAATGGAAAAAAAGAATAAGGATGGAATATCCATTATACAGTTAGGAAACTCCTCCAACATTCTATAACATAGCCACATCTTTCTGTTTTTCTGAGAAACAGAGAAATGGAAGAGAAAGAATTCTGAATCTGAAATAAGTATGAAATTACCTTAACTCATTCTTCCCAGTTCCTCACACTCTCTCAAGATTAGTCAAAGTTGGTGATTTTATTCTTAAACTAGCAAAGCTAAATTTGTCATCTATTGCTCAATTTAAAACAAGAAAAAAAAAGTGTTCTGTTCCCACACAAGAAACAACCTGGCTGTACAGAACTTTCCAACACGACCCCTCCCCCTCCCTTTCCCCATTGGCTGCTGAGCATTTTCATCAGTCGGTTCTCTTTGTTAAGTCTTTCTGGTGCTAGTTCATGCTAGCTAGGCTCTCACTGTAGAACCCCAGCCACACACAAAATGAGACTGTGCAACTTCCCCTCCTCATTACAATAACAAGCAACTGTGAAACAAGATAGACTCAGTAACAGATTAGAATTTAAAATATGAGCAGTAACACAGGAAGAGGGAGCCCAGCCCATCCTGAAACTCTTATTGAATTTACCTGGAACCCATATTTTCTCCAACCTTAGGATGGCAAATACGTAACCTCTGCTGTCTGTGAATATTTTAATATACGAGGTGTCATATATAGTATGTAATTTTTCAATTATTTCTAGAACACTCATTTACTGTTATATAAAGAATTGAGTTGGATTAAAAACAATTGCAGGCTTTCTCCCACTTGGAAACTGTATAATTTTATTCTTAAATAATGTTACTCAGCATTTCAGAGATTCAGTCCCTGAAATATATAACCTAAGAGAGAGTCAGAATAGATAAGTGATTTTTTTTAAATTCTTGGAACATCAATTTATTTGAGAATATAATAAAGATATAAAATTTTCCCCACATAAAGGATTTGGTTACAAATGTTGCAGAAAATTTCAAGGAAACTAGTTCCTTCCAACTTCCGCTATGGTCCTTAAAAGTGCTCACTGACTGGGGATCATGAGGCCCCAGACTAACACCAGACATTAACCAAGGTGCACTTATTCACTGTGTTTCTGAGTTTTTCCACATAAGTAAGAAATCAGTATATGAAAATCACTGAGATTGCTATGATTACCTTTGCTACTGCCCAGCAGAATGAACTGACAAAGATTTTCCTAGTCACGGGACACATGCTTTTGCCAAGTGACTGAGATGACATCAGTTTCTTGGAGCTACCATCGTGTTGGCGTGATTCAGGAGTCCCTGGGAATGACGACGGGGTGGGCTACTTGCCATTTCCTCAGTCTGTAAAAAGGCAATGGAAACACCTAAGGGAACTGCAGAATGCTAATTTCCACATTTCTAAACCCAGACTGGAAAGCACACTGAAGCCGATGTTTGACTCAGCTCTTCCCCATCACTCATTTGGATGGCCTCATCTGCCTCCTACTCCACCACACTCCTCACTCCCAACTGGAGACTTCCTGGTCTCCTTCTGTTTCTAAGTCAAATTCTGCCTCCATAGGTAATGCCAAAATCAAACAGTCATACTTCCCTTCCAAGAAAACCACGCACAGCTCTGATCAAACAAAAGTATTCACAACCTGGTGAATGTTTTTCAGATAACAGAATGACAAGATGGAGCATCTGTTTTATGATCAAACTTGAACCCAATCTTCCTTTGCCTTGACACACTAAACAAATGTAATTTCAAAGCCTCATTTTCCATAAGTTAAGCAAAATAGTACAGAGTCGCCACATTAGGCTTCAGAAGCCTGAACTGCAGCTTTCAGCCCTGTCTTGTAGATCTCTGGATAACTCAAAATCTCATGGTTAAAGTAGGTCTACCAACTGCTCACCTGAACTAAGAAGATATGCAAAGAGTCTATGTCCAACCACAGTTACATTTTGAGAAACTAGGGGTCAGTGCTTCGATGTATCTTTTAGGGAGTATACATTTAGCCTGTGTCTTAGAGTTTCTATTGCTGTGAAGAGATGCCATGATCACAGCAACTCTTGTGAAGGAAAACATGTAATTGGGGCTGGATTACAGTTCAGAGATTTAGTCCATTTCCATCATGGAAGGAAGCATGGTGTCATGCAGGCAGACATGGTACTGGGCAGGAGCCAAAAATTCTACATCTGGATCGGCAAGCAGCAGGAAGACAGAATGACATTGGGCCTGGCTTGAGTTTCTGAGACTTCAAGCCCACCCCCAGAGACACACTTCCTTCAACAAGACCACACCTACTCCAACAAAGCAACACCTCCTAATAGTGCCACTCCCTATGGGATTTCTTTATCCAATCAAATACTATTCAGTATTAAGATGATTGGTCTCTATCCAATTGAAGGACTGGGACTGCAAATTGTTTTAGAGAAAACACTCAAAGTAAATGGGGGGGATGGCAAAAGACTCTGAGAAATAAGGTAAGGGGTGAGCTAGTAAAAACTAAAACCAAGAAAAGAGAAAAGTAGAACCATGAAAATAACAGACAAAAATTCTAGAAAACAACAACATGATGGAGAGGAAAGAAGATAATAAAATAGTAAGGTAAAAAAAAAAGATTTAACTTACCCTCTAAATAGAATCTCGGGTTGAACTACACAAATCCTGCATTGTTGAAATAGGAGCGGCGGCGGGGCTGCGTCCCCAACACCCCGGCCGCTTGGCTAGCTTATGCCCGAAATAACAACACACAAACTGTATTCATTTAAAGAACTGCTTGGCCCATACTCTAGCCCTTATAGGCTAATTCTCGCACCTGGACTAGCCCATTTCTAATGATGTTTGTAAGCACCCCAAGGTGCGCTTACCGGGAAGATTCTAGCCTACATCCATCTTCATCGCGTGTGCCTCAGAGAGCAGAGCTATCGCGTCTACCCGGGAGAGCTGAGCATGGCGTCTCTGCTCCAGCAGAGCTGACTGGTCTCTCCGGGAGCAGAGCAGAGTCTGACCTCACTTCCTCTTCCGCCCAGAATTCTATTCTGTTTCCTCCTCCCATCTATGCTCTAAGCTAAGCCAAGCAGTTTCTTTATTGCTCAGCCAATGAAATCAACAGATTGATATATGACACTCCCACATCACTGCATTGTTGTACATTTCCTTTAAAAAATTATTTAACACAGAATTATACAGAAAAATTGAAAAGCTAGGATTTAAAAGAATATACAGATATGTGTGGATTGGATATTGGAGTTAATGGCTTCTGAGGAAGAGATAATCATTCTCCATGACCACAGGTGAGCCAGGCTGCATAGTGAGACCCTATAGCAAGAACAAAAAAGAAAAACTATTTAAGAGTAGAACAATATAATGTGAGTAACCAAACACTTTCTGACTGGATCTAAGGTCCACTCCACAAGACAGCAGCCATACTATCATCATTGCTGGGGCTTAGGAACTGCGAATACAAAGGGCATAGCGCTAAGCAAGAACCTAATACTGCTAAATGGACAGTGTTAACTGACCCGGAATGGCTTATCTTTGTGCCCACAGATTAGCGAATCTCTCAACTCTCGTCAGAGATGCTTCTTTATACAGTAGATGGTGATTAACACGGAGATCCACAAGTATCCCAACTGAAGAGAATAAGAGAATACCAAGTGCTCAGTCATAAACGGGACATCTGTCTCACACCGTTCATCTCCAAGGCTCCGGGATCATCACGGGGAGAGGATAGGAAGATGGTAAGAGCCAAAGGTGGCGGGTGACTACAGAGAAGCAGTGTTTGCTGGACACATTCGGGCGCTTGCACATACGAACTCACGGTGGTTGTGAAAACTTGCACAAGATTTGTGAAAACTCAAGCCAGACGAAGTCCCAGCCTGGAGGGGAAGGCAGGTGCAAAGCCCCACCCCTAACTAAAGAGCTATTGGCAATGGATAGCTGTTAGGCTAAAGAGAGTCCATTTGCTTTAATGCCGTGGCCCCTGGTAGGTCAACCACATACTGGGGTTGGCCCCATACCCAAGAGTATTTGAGCGACACCCCTGGATTCCATGAGTGAAGAGGTAAAGAAAGAGGAAGAAGAAAAGGAAAATAAGACATGAAGTTAGATGGGGGAAGGTAGATCTTTGAGGAGGGATGAAGAGGTGGCAAATATGGTCAAATGATATAAAATTTTCAAGCAACTAATAAAAAACATTTTTAAAAAGAAAAAGTTCTTATCATTGTGAGCATTCGAGACCCAGCAGAAATAATTAAAACCATGTAGAAAGGGGAGGGGGAAAAAGCAATGCTCTAGAAACTGTAAAAGCCTCACAGAAGCTTTTGTCTAGTAATTAAGTTCTATTCGTTCAGGGGAGCATCAGCAGAAAACATCCATAGTTATTTGCAACTATAGAAAAATCATACAACTGTATTGCTTTGGTTTCATTAGCACTGAAATCTATGAGAAAGATTCCCCCATCACAGATAATCTATGAAGCAGTATGTGTTAGTTACGTTTAGCACATAGCTAACAGACACGAGTGAAAAGGTAGACTGAATTACACGCATCCCACTCTTCCCAATACTACTTAATGGTTAGGAGCCAAGGAATACAATATGGAGGGCCACTGAGAAGGATGGACAGTGTGACCAGCAAGGATGGGAGCTGCACCGAGGTCGGCAGACCTGCTCTGGATCCCTGGAGCCTGGCCCTGGGCACATCCCAGAGATAATTACCATAGAAATCATGTCTTCCACCTTCTACCAAAATGACTGCAGTGGGCCAAAAGCACATAAACACCAGGCTCACCGTTTATTTGGTTTCGGTACTACTGGATTTTTTTATTCTAATTTGCCTGAATAATACTAGCTTTAAGGAGGAAAGTACTTTTATAAGAAATCCTTTCATGACAAAGGAAGTATTATAGTGTTTTTCCTGTGTTCAAAGTGGGGCGGGGAAGCAGAGCATGTGTTTAGACTGAATATCAGACCACATCCTGTGTCACGTGGATTGGTATGGAGTAATAACTGATCCCTGGCACCAAATGAAGTTCTTTGGAAGAAAGCCCTTGTTCCCTTATCCTTTTTAGGAGCCTGTGCTTGAGACATTTAATGAGGCAAATTCATCAATAAAGCTCAAAGCGTTGTATCATGCCAAGCAAACAAAAGTGGAATTCTCAAGCCTCCATCAGAAGCCCTCTGAACCCACACACACACACACCACACACACACACACACACCACACACACACACACACACACACACACATACACACATATCACACACACAAACACACACATACGAGCGCATAAGCAACACCCCTGGACTGGACACCGTTCCCACACCACCCAACAGAGCATTTAAAGGGTGCCAAGCTTTGGGGCTGGCAGGCCACCCAGGCTTCCCTAGTTCACTCTCCCCTGTCTTTCTTCCCTCCAGGTGGAGGCTGGGAGAAGGGACATCTTGAGTGAAAGATATTTCTGGAACTGGGAGGAAGCAGCTCCGCCCTCATCAGGAGAGGATTCTTTTCCGCTGAAGTTTAAAGGGAGTGCATTCCTTTACAAAGAGATGAGACAAGAGTTAGGAACACCTTAAGAAAAAACAATCAATAGCATCTTCAAATCACTATTACCAATTTAGTTAAGATTTCCTGGAGTTTATTTTTTTCAAAGCTCAATACAATTTTTTGGCATTAATCTTAAAATTCATAGGTTTGCATGACAGGAAAAAGTCAGACTAGAACATTTCATAAAGCAAGAAACTGCTGGGAGTTTCATTAAAGCTCCACACAGGGACAGAGTCAAGATGTGAGTGAGCCCAGGTATTATAAACACCAGTCCAGAATTCTACTGTCTGAGGTTGCTTTCCTGAGAAGGATGCATATGCATATCTTTAAAGACAAATTTGAAAGGAAATATCCCTAAAATCATGATTTAATTCATAGCCAAGTAATTTTGCTGAACAATCGGAGCACACTTGTATCTCTCTATAAAACTATCATTCATATTTATAGCTTGTTCAAATACCACAGGAACAAATGACAGTTAGGGTGGCTTGCCTAGAATCTGTATGGTACAAGCCAGTTTGTTTGTTTCTTTCATTTACTTGGTTAAAAATCACCTTAAAGTGCATCAACATTTAGAAGCAAAGGGGAAAGGAAAATTCACTCTCTTAAATAGCAGATGCAGTCCGTTAGGGAGATGGTTAGGGGGATGTAACACCTAAGGCAAGCAAATGCTCAGACCTTGGTGCTTCCCGCTGTCACAAACCACAATGGAGTCACTGTAAGAATCTTTCAGAGGCTCCATTCATGAAGCATTGCCATCACTTTGTTTATTAATTTGTAATGAGTTTAAAGAGGGAAAGGGGAGTGTTCCAAATTCTTTCTAATGAGCATTGACCTTTTACTGTCATCTAATTCAAACGCTTCTATTAGCTCACATCCCAAGTCAGTCCCAAGATAACAATCTGCTGCAACTCAAAGAAACAGCCGCTGGCTAGAAAGGAAAGCCGCAGAACACTATTCTCTGAGCTGGAGCGTGTGTTCTGATTAAAATTAATGACTAAAAACTAACCTTCAAGTTTGGCTATAAATTTCGCAGGATGCATAGCCTAGCCAATTCATGTCATCAATGAGGGACTAAATTAAAGGAAAATTCCTGCCTTGACTGCACAGCTGTCTGTTCAGCAATGACCGCCATTGGAAATTATTTCCTGCCTCGTTTTCTCTCTCTACACTCTCCCCACATCACCAGTTCATCGGGCAACATGCTTTGCCATGACCGAAAACATCTTATTTCCTTCGAGTGGAATGTTTTAACATGTCAATTCACATACACATATTAAAAACTCCTTGTATTTTCTCTAATAAAATGAGCACAGAACTACAGAGGACTCTGAAACCTTCGCTGACCCAAGCCTGTCATCTGGCAAGAGAGCCCTGGAGTGAAGAGAGTCTCCTTCCTGGCCTTCGGTTTATTACCCGGGGCTGTAATGGATTTTTTTTTTCCATCTTCATGACTAACCAAAATATTCTGTGGCCACCCATTGATAACCTAATAAGTCAAAACAATAAAAGTTCAGATTTTACTAGCTTTAAAATTCATGCTTATCCTTATCCAAATGGAACATTAAGTGTTTAAATTTGGGCTAATAAAATTTCAGCTCAACATAATAATTGAAAGTCTCTTTATGGCTGATTTTGACTAAATATAAGTCATATACTTACTCAGCCATCACCTCTTGAGTACCAAGTCATCCTAAGATCAAACAGGAGAGTGATCTGGAGGCTGGAGAGATGATGACTAGGAGCCCAGCACCCACAGCAACTGCTCCAATCACCTGCAACTCCAGCGCCAGGCTATCTGTTGCCTTCTTCCAGCCTCTGCGAACACCTAGACACGGACAGAGCAGGTTCACTCAGAGAGGAGCACACAGGCATGGACGAAAATAAACAAAATAATTAAAGAAAGATCAGAAACACGTGGTAAATTACGATCTACTGGGGAGAAAATCACCGGCAAGGTAAATTTATCAAGTTGGTATATTTTAACTAATGACAAACTCCATCGAGACAAGGCCAGAAGTGAAGAGAAACTGATTATTTCCGGGGTCTTAATACTAGGTGGTCACGGAAAGCTTTTCAAAGAAAAGACATAGACACTCATGTTTGTGGGTCAAGATGGAGGCAGAGG